TCTCCAGAAATTGGGGTTGACTGGCTGGACCCACAGCCTTTCTCCAAACACTAATCTTGTAGGGAAAGAAGCAACAGAAGCAAAGGAGGAACTGTCCCCAGAGACCACCCTGTCCTCTCAACTTCCTCCTTGAACGTCATTCAAATCGTTGCCACAGTGATATTCTCTGCCTGATGACTGACACTTCAAGATCCAGGCAAGTGACGTCAAGCCCTAGAGAAATGGAATCTTACTCCCACCACACTCAGCTGCAGACCCTCTACCATCTCCAGGCCAAAGGCTGCCACCCCTGACCCAAGGTGTGCGCACGGTGGGAAGAGAGGCGCCAGGTTAGCAGTGCAGAGCCCACGGCAGCTCCGCCTTGGGCAAGACTCCTTCTCTCAGGGGGTCTCCAGTTTCCTCTTCTGGAATTTGGGGCCTGAGCATGGATCACCGGTGGTCCAGCTCTTTCCTGCAGACGTACTGGAACACAGCAAAGCGTGAACATGGAGTCACTGTGGGGGAGGCGGGTGGCCCCACCCACCTGGCCTTCCCTGGTCCTCAAGGGGAACCGGAGGCCCCTTGGGGTTGCAGTGGGCCCCCCAACATAGTGTGGATGAAGAGCAGTGAGAGCTTCCCTTGTCGGCTGTCCTACAACCGCAAAGTCTCACCTCGGTGGCGGGGGAGCTCCTGATCCTCCCTCCATGTGGAGTGAGGCCAGCAGAAGTCGTCTGTCTCTGAAAGGGCAGGGAGGTGGGGCAGTGGCAGGCTTGGGTCTGGGTGGTCAGAGGTGCTGGCTAGTTTAAAAATGTATCTTAGAGCTCTGGCTGGTGGAGCTCAGTGGATTGAGCACGCGTGGGCTGGGAACCAAAGGGTCACCGGTTTGATTCCCAGTCACGGCACATGCCTGGGCTGCAGGCCAGGTCCCCAGTAGGGGGCACATGAGAGGCAACCACACAATGATGTTTCTCTCCTTCTCTTTCTCCTTCCCTTCCCTTCTCTCTAAAAATAAATAAGATCTTTAGAAAAAAAAGAAAAAGTCTATTAAAAAATAAACATTCATCTTAGAGATGCTAACTGTGAGAGTCCTGTTTCCCCCTTAGATTCCCAACCACTGTGAAGAACTCAGGGAATGAAGTGCCTCAGACTCTTCAGTGCGCGGCAGGGGAGGCGGCGGCAGCGCCCAGAGCCGGAGAGCGCGTGTCAGATACGAGGAGTGACTGCACCGGGCTACAGCGCGAGCCAGTGGGAGGCTCCTTCTGGGGAGACTGCCAGAGCACAGAGACCCAGGCCTAACACGCGAGTTCAACTTCTCTCCCTCCTCCTCATAATTTTTTTGACAATCATTAGTTCATATTCTTGAGGCTGGACTGGTATCACAGAGATAGGAGAGATAAAGTAATTAAGTAACTTGTCCAAGGTCATGAGGAAATTGAGAGATGTAAGAGGAAATCTTCAGTCCTATTAAAAGATGCCCATGTCCCCAGGGGCCAAGTCAAGGAGAGGTGCCAAAAAGAACACAGGGAAGAAAAAAGTCAACCACTTGGTTTTCTTAAAGCTGGGATGAGAGGCTTCTGATTGGCGAGAGCTGGTTTGCTGTAATTCAAAAGGCCAAGGGCGGGAAGAAGCAGCCCGAGCTCCAGGATTTGAAAGGAGCAAGTCCGGCCCCGCCCTCTCATGTCCTAGACACTACCAATCAATGCTGGGGCTCCAAGAAGTGACATTTTGGGAAGGAGAGAAACAGGTAGAGGCAGGTGAGTCACTAGGGAAGGTTCTGTTCCTCACCGTTCTCCCCATCTGCACCCCGACGCTGGGTCCTGGGCAGGGAAGAGGTGCTTGTGAAGCCCCGGACAGGACGACGGGCCCACAGATCCGCGAAATCCGACCTGGGCAGGCCCTGTCCAACTCTCCTCTGCACAGACCAGAAAATGGTCTGCCCGGCAGCTCCAAGGAGAAAGGGCCTGGATGGCAACCTCTCCAGGGTCTGTCTGCGCTCATCGAAGGGCATCCTCAAGTTTCCCGGGGCCTTGAAGGGGTCAGGGAGGGGCCGTGGGAAGACTAGCGCCCCTGGCAGAGCAGGACACAGAAGAAAAAGTCTGAGTGTGGCCTTACAGACTCGGCAAGCAGATGTCACAGGCGGGCTCTCACACCGTTCCTGCCAGATGCTGTGAGGACGGACTCTGGGGGCAGCTAACTGTTGAGGATGGCCACAACTCCACAGTAAGCCAGACAGCGCCAGGGGCCGCTTCCCACCACCGACACCGCTCCCAGGCCCCCGCCCACACCCAGCTTTCTAGAATTCTCACACAATCCTGATTTGACAGAAATGACCTGGAGTGACTACGTTAATGCCTTCATCACCGGGTGGAGGCAAGAAGGTTGAAAATGAAATATCGGTAACAATAACAGCAGCATATTTTGACCCACTGGCACCCATGAGACTATGCAGCGCCATTCCTGCACGGGGACAGAGATGAGACTGCTCCTGACACAGCCCGGAGCCCCGAGTGTCCTGCCGGGTGGAGCCTGCCCCACCACTGCCTGCAGCCCTGGGGGGCAGCTGACAGGGCAGGGGGTGGGCTGCACAGTCAGTCCCTTCTCCCCCTCCCTCCACTCCCGCGGCTAAGTGTCCGAGAGAAAGCTCCCTTCCGGTTCACCTCTGGCCCCCCCTCTCACGCCACGGTCCTCTTCCTCCCAGGCGCTATGGCCTCAGCTTCGTGCTCCCTGCCTGTCACAAGCCCCCACGAGAGACTGCATGGAAAGAAGGGTCAAATCGAAGGGAAAGGTCCACCTTCCCTTGACTGATTTCATCCAGGCCAAATGTTGTTAATTTAATCATTTCCATAATGACCCTAGGGACTCATCAATGCGCTCTCTGCGCCTGACACGTCCTTAGCCTCCAGGGAAACGCCGATCAGATCCATGTGAGAAAGTTAAGCAGTACACCCTGGTAGGGGATCATACTCTCCTGCACTGGATACTGTTGGATGGGTAATGAATTAAGTGCAGCCATTCGGTCTCACCCACAGGTAGTTTCCGCTGCCCCTCATGCTTATAGGAACCTCCGCTGTACGTGACGGCCCAGACGGGAAGTCTCTGACCCAGAAGGGCGGCCCCAGAGCCTCCTGGACAGAACTGCTTCATATCAGCAGGCTCATCATCACAGGCTTCTCAGGGGGTGTCTCTTAGACACCTGTCGGTGACCCAGGAGCCAGAGGAACAAAAAAATAACCATATATTGAAGCACTGAGGAGGGGGATACTGTATTGACTACTGGGTCTGGAGCGGTGTTGTCACCATTTTTGTTGTTCTCGTTCCTGACGGGTGCACGGTGACATCCTTTCTCTTCCTTCCTGATCGAGCTTTAGTAGCAAACAGTCTGAAATGAGACACCTTCAGGTGGGGCTCCTGTCCCCACCCCCACCCCGAGCTCTCAGCATGCTGAGTCTCTACTTCTGATGGCAATGTAGTCACTCATGTTGGCTCAACAAAACTTTGTTCCAATTTTTACCACATTGAACAAGTAGATGGGCAGTCGAGGCCATGCCTGGAGTGTCACATTTGAGAGCGACTCTCCCTTACTCAATGACAAGGCCACCATTAAGAAACGGCTGCACTGCCTTCGGAGAACCACAATGTCCTCCCAGGAAACTGGTCTGTCCCCTCGTCACAGTGAGTCCAGCAACCTCAGCAGAGCCGACACCCTTGAGGGGCAATGCACACACCCCACCGACAGGTGCCATGGGCAGGGTGGGGGGGCAGGTTCCTTGGAGCGGTGTCCGTGCCTCAGAATACAAGAGTAAATACAAGCGACAAACAATATACCTGGAATAATAGAGGCTATTGAATCTTCCTAAGAAGATTGTCAACAATTCTCTAGGCGGAAGGTAATTGTCTGAAGCCTGCATTTGCTCACCACCACAGGGCCCTCTGTCCATGCTCCAAGGAGGGTCATGCGCATTAATCAGCATTTCTTACTGCAGTTACATAAATGAATCCGCCCACTGCACAATGAGATAAGCTATTTGGTAATCAAGAGTAAGTACTCTACAGGGATTACTTGTGACCGCGGCGCCCTGTGGTTTACAATGTCCCTCCACATTCTGAGTTGAAGCTCCCAAAGGGCCCTTCACAGTCCCCACCGTAAGCAGATGCAGACTCGAACGTCACCTACGTGCCCAGGAAAGGACGACGTGACACTATGACTGAACAAAGGCGAATGGCCGACACTCACACCCCATTCGTCCTCCTCCACTACAAAGAGAAAACACTGTAGGAGACACGTGCATGCGTGTGCACACACACCTGCACACACAGACAGGGCCGTGTAGTGTGTTCCATGGACTAGCCAGCTACCCCTGAGAAAGCCCAGGCCCGCAGAGGGAAACCTCTATCCCGGCTCTCATTAAGGAAGCCTCGAGAAGGAGCGGAGACCAGTGGGACGACACCACGGTCCCCCCACAAAAACACCCACGGAAGTGCCATCTCCCTGCCCCGCCGGGAAAAGAAGCCACCGCCCCAGGGAGGGTGCTCTCCTTTCCTGTGTCCCCTGGCCCTGTGCTGTCTTCCAGTCCGAATACATTAACACAGAAACGCTCCGGGGGGGTCCTCCGCACCCTCATGACATCTCTGCAGTCCCTGGTTTGAAATTTGGCCTTGAGAAGTTCAAAGGACTTAGATATCAGAGTTCAAGGAAGACTAAGACGTACCCCAGAGCAGGTCCTAGTCTTAGATGCTAAAAAACCTGCCCTTCCTACACTGCAGCCAATTTAACCTCTCAAAGAACGGAGTGCTTAGTGCTTGAACTTACCACGGACAAACAGAACTAATTACAAAGATTCTCTGCTCTTCTTATCCATGGAAGCTGAAGGCGGTTCAGCTGAAGTGTCCCCAAACGAGCCCCCCCCCCGGGTGACAACGACTCTGAGTGATGCCACCTTGCTGGCAGATGGGCAGAGCTTGGCCAGGCCTCCCTGACTGCCTGGCCCTGCTTCAGGGATCCCCCTGTGATGCCCACTCACCATTCTTCTCCACCTTGTGTTTCGGTGGCTCAGGCTCTGGGAGACACGGGCAGGGCCCATCGCAGAGGGTGGTGAGGCTCTTGCCAGTGGAACAAGCGTGGAACTCCATCTTGCACTGCAAAAGACAGACAGAACAGGTCTGAGGGATGAGCAGACTCCCGCCTGGCTCCCGGAGGGAGCGGCCACTGCCTCTCTGACCACAGACGGGTGTGCGGGCACAGCAGCCAAGATGGAGAACAGAGGAGTCTGTCTCAGTTACAGCCTGAATGACGGCCCCTGAATGAGAAATGTTTTTCTGAATGCATAGTGTAACACCCAAAAGTACTGCAGGAGCACCGGGAGGCTGACTGTAATGAAGGGCAAGCTCCACTATACCTGTTAATAAAGTTGTTAGTTTGAAACGATGTCTTGGAATCCCACAGGCTCTGCAAAGACCAGCCTCCCACCGGCCACAGAGGCTGCTTCTCCTCCTTTCTTTCTCCTTCGAGGGAAGCTCCACCCACAGAGCGCGCCTGGTCCCTCGGCTGCCCCCACACTTTTTCTGGGCTATTTAGTAACTATCTTTCTAGTTCAGGTGGTACATGTGAGGCCCAGTACCTCCCCTGGGGAACAAGAGGAGTCAACACTTTCGTTCCCATCATCCAAAACCCAAGTGTACACAGCCTTTCCCTGTGGAGGTCGCCCGAGGTTGCCTAACCAGCCTGTGACGGGTGCAAACCTCCCCTGATCCTCAGATTCACAATGGAAGTCCCAAGGCCATGTGTCCACTTGTGACCCTTTCTCAGTAACCCTTTCTCTAGTGTTTGGGCCACTTTCTGCCAGCTCCACCTGCAAGTCTCAACTATTCAGAACATGAGCAGGAAAGAAGGACTTTTGCCCAGGGGCAAAAGACCACAACAATTCAGTCTTCTTATTATTCTCACAATGTGGAGCAACTAAGCGAGGCTCAGAGAGCTTAAGTGAGGGAAGGTCAGGACACTCCAAAGGGCCGGAGCCAGGGTTCACTGCCCCGTCTGACTCCAGGGCCGAGCACCTGCGGGACTCACAAGGCGGTTTCTGCCATTCGGACAGGCTGGAGAGAACGGACAGCGGGCACTGCACTCTGGTGGCTGCTGGCCTGATCCAAGCTGTCTGCGAGTCCCCCTCCATTACTGTAACGCTCCCGAGACCAAGGCTGGGTTTCATCAGTCTTCTGCAGAGGCCCAGGCATCAGGACCGTGTCTGTGTCTGGTGGGGGTTCAAAGGCAGAGCAGATAGGCAAATTTCACCCTCTGTGCCTGCCACTGCGCCTGCCGCTCTTATCAGGTACCACAGGGAATCTCTTAAAAGAAAGAAAAAGGAGATACAGCCACTGCCCTTGGAAAACGCTAATGTGTATCTTTGGAAAATGCTAGCAGCATTTGCAAAGTGGCACGCAGGGGTCCAGACGAAGCTGGCTCATTATGAGAGGACTGGCTACTCAGGCCCCATGCCGATTTCAAAGCGAGCGGCGAGTGCTTTCCACCCGGTTCTGCGTGCACTGGAATCACCCTTGGGTAACTCCGCAGCCACCCACATGGCCCCTGCTGACCCCTGCAGGGGGAGGGTAGCAGACAGGCCTGCAGGTGCTGCCGGTTTCCTCTTCATGCAAAACTGCCTGCCATGCTGATCTGTGAGGCGTCTGGTGTGCGAGCTCTGTGGTAACAGGAGGTGTGGGGCCGTCAGAAGGGAGGCCATGGCCCAGGCCTCCCACATCAACAACTTAATGAGGAAGCAAAAAAACTGTTCTTCTGAAGCCTCAGGATGTGACCTTGAGGTGAGCCAGACGTATGTCTATGCAGGGATGGCACGCCCGCAGGCCGTCCGGACGGACAGAAGACAAGCCGAGGGGAATGCTGGCAGGCGGCTGGGAGCCGCCACCCTCAGCTCCACCACAGGCAGCACAGCACGTGCCCAGGCGCCCAGGGCGGGGTGAAGCCGCTGTGCCCAGCACCACCGCCTGCTTCCCCCGGGCTGGCTCTCTGGAATAACCCTGTTTCAGACTGGCAGTCGCCCACTATTTTGTCAATAGCAGCTGTAAGTGAATTTAGGGGAAACTGTGCATTTTTTTATAAAAGTGTATTTGGCTCCCTGCCCCACGGGACACAGCACTGCCCCTCCCCAAGGACACTCGTCCTGGACGGTGGGTCATGAATAGGGGCGACAACCGCCAGGCGTGAGCGGATGTTTTAAGACGCACTGTTTGGTTTCATCGCCTCCCTTGCTCTTCTCCCTACGGTGAAAATGGCATGTGCCAGAGTAAGGGCTGCTCCTGCCCGGGGCCCAGAGGCAGAGGACGGGACCAAGCCAACCTTAACCCACCGCTAACAAGCAGCACAAATGAGGACTCAGTGTGTGCTCTTGTGACCCACTCGTGTTTGCGGATCATTTGTTACCACAGTGTAACGTAGCAAAAGCTGATAAAACAGCAGACTTCCTAGCAGACCATGAAGTACTTAACAACTGGAAAAGGTCTTAGTCATCGCCTCCCCCCTGGCATGACAGGACAGCAGCCGGGCCCCTGGTGCAGGGCAGGTGTTTGGGAGGTGGCGCTGAGCCTCAGAGGCAGCATGAGAGGTGGCGCCGTTCATCCCTCGGCCCTAACCCCTCTCCTGGCTGCCCGGAGCTGCCAACCGGCAGCGCAGAGAACGCAGGCACTGGCACTCGGTGCTCATGGTGCTCCTGGAGAGCCCTCCTGCGTCGACACCCACCCCAGCCGCACGCTCTGCTGCTCAGGACCCTGCCCGCCCCAGTCTGTCCCTGCAGGCAGGGTCTAGTCCATCCCCTTCCTCCATGTCCGCGGCACCTGGAGGAACGCACCGAGGGCCCCTGAGGACGGTCACTGCCGTAAGTCGGCATCCGTGGCTGGCCCCCACGCCCCCTCATGTCGCAACCTGTGGAGGCAGCCAGGTCTCCTTGCCAATCCACAAAGGTGCCACCAGAGAAGTAAGATTTATCTGCACCAGTGAAAACCCGTGTTTCAAGGGCACAGATCTGCTTTTTGTCTTCTAGGACAATGTGCAGCATTTAAATGAGGCTCAAATGGCTGCAACCCCATTTTGTATAAAGCTAAAACCATGCCATGTGGAGATACATATGTCTGTGGTAAAAGCTACTTTAAAGGGAGGGCTGGTGACAAGTACCTTGAAGACAGGGGTTCCCCACAGAAAGGAGGCAGGGGGGTGGCCTTGGCCCACAGGACCACCGTGACATGGGGAACGGGGTGTGTCAAGAGTGGGCTGTTGGATTCCAAGGCTTTGTTTTGTTACAAGGCTTGGCAACTGATATAAACAATACATACACGGGGCCCTGGCCAGGTGGCTCAGTTGGTTGGAGCATCGTCCCATCCACCAAAAGGTTGTGGGTTTGATCTCTGGTCAGGGTGCATTTGGGAGGCAACTGATCAATGTTTCTCTCCCCCTCACTCCCTCCCTCCCCCAACTCAATAAACATATTCTCGGGTGAAGATAAAAAGAATAATGCATATATGTGTATGTATGAAATACTTTATGATAGAACATAAAAATGGTTTATAGGCTTCTCTCAAAGAGAGGACCAAGCCATACCTACACCTTGGAGACACTGGTCAGGAGAAGTGAGTGAGCACCTGTGTGGGGCCCTCTGGGCAGGACCGAGGGTGCACAGCTCCACCCTGACCATCACTAGGCAGGAGCACTGTGAGCTCCAGCCACTTGGACATCGTGTGCGTATTCCCTCCCCACAGCATGCCCCTCAGCCCCACCCGTGACTCACCCACCCACTCTCTTGCCCCATCCTCTCTTCCCCAGGGTCTTGCTGGGAAAGAACAGATATAGAAGCCAAAAGGTGCTCACTGCCCCAGCTTTACCAGAGGGGCCAGAGGACTCTCAGAGCACAGGGTTTCTTGCTAGACAGGGCTGTACAGTGTGGCAGGACCTTCACCTTCACACCATGTGGGCGCCTCGCACCAAGTAGCACCCTCTCCCAACCCACAGGGGACAGAGGCCCAGGAGAGCCGGGCTGGGCTTTGCCTAGTGTGCCCTGGCTGTGCACGCACAGATCCTGACCACGAAGGGCAGGCATGCCGCCCCTTGAGTCTAGGGCTGCCAAGGAAACAGGAGCCAAGAGAAAAGAGGTGGCCCATGTGACTCTTCCAGGGCTGTGGTTCTACTCCTCACTGTGAACGGGGGCCTGACCCGGGGAAGCGGGGTTCCCCCACACGAGGACATGTGTAGCTTCCCTCAGGAAAAGGGAGCAGGGAGCGAGAAAGTGAAAGGATTCCCCTAGTGCAGTGGTCTCCAACATTTTTGGCACCCGGGATGGATTTTGTGGAAGACAAGTTTTCCAGGGACCTACCCTGTTCCTACAGGCCACAGACCGGTCCGGTCTGGGTCTGAGGCCTGGAGGTGGGGACCCCTGCCCTAGAGGGAGGTGAAGATGAAGAAATAAGTGTTCCCCTCAACACCACAGGGCCATCACTGGCTCCTTCCCCACTTCGGCACTGAACAACAAGCGTTCGGAATCCCCAGCCACTCTGTCTTTCCTACAGTGGGCAGGAGTGAAAAATGGCGAACGACAGATGTGCTTTCTCTGCGACAGGGCCTGCTGGACAGCACTTGTCTGCTGCCCTGCCTGCCCCACAGGCCGAAGGACCTGGGCATCCAGGGGCACCCTCTGCAGCTCCAGGCAAAGACAGCAGGTTGCCTGTTGAGCTCAGAGTGCACAGCCTAGAGGCAGAAAAGGAAAAAACAAGCGACAAAATGACATTCTTGGGAACTAACAAGGGGCACCCCTATGTCCTCACTGTAGGGGAAAAACAAACCTTGGAGGGTGTGAAGAAAGAGGAGGAAACGGTACAAATCCATTTTTGTGCATTTGGAGTGTAGAGCCAGTCAATCGCGCAAAGCTCACAAGCAGCCAGAGCTGAAGGCACAAGGAGGGGAACCTTCGTCCCAAGGGGGAGAGGCACAAGGCGATGCACCAGAGTCCCATCAGGAGGTCCCTGCTGCCTGTCAGGGGTACCCTTTGGCCACGAACACAAGTGGGTCTGACCAGAGAGAAGAATCATTCCTGGTCTGGCCTCCACTCTCTCTCCAGTGCAAAAGCTTTGTACTTTGC